TTATAGTTACCTAATCTTCAATTGCCGAATATATTTTTTCCAAAGATCCGCGCTTCTACCCGGTTATCTCTCTGTGGCTTTACAGACCTTTTAGGGGCTATTAACCTACCTGTTTACTCGGTTTGCTATCTCACTGCTTCCGACAGATGAATAGACTGAATCCTGATCATATGACAGATCTATGACAGAATGACAGATCTGGGGGGGTAAAATCAAAACTTTTTTCTGGGAGTATCCTCTCCCGATTTTTCTGAAACATCTGTCATATCCGTCATATCTGTCATACCCCTCTGATTCTATCGTATTTTCCTCTCTTTTCCCTTATTTCATTCTTTTTTAGTATATTATTATATGACAGATGTTAATGACAGATGGTGACAGATATAGGGGATTCCCTACCCCACGGAGGGGAGATGTAGGTACTGCGAGGCCGCGAGGCCGAGGTGGGGTGAGCGTAGCAAGACACACTACCAGCCCGACGACGTTTACGGTTGTCACTTGTTGTTTTGAAGTTCTTATCGTCACAGTTTTGAGAAATGTGTAACGGTGATCCACAAGTGTTGCATGTTTTGGCTGATATGTGCCCTGGGATGATGAAGATGGTGTGGTTAGCAAATTGTGATGACGCGCCTCCCGTTGCGTTATCAGGATAATTCTCTGGTGAAACGTATATGTAGGCATTTTTCATGGTTGAGTATCGAGTAGTTTGTGTAAACGTACAAGTACGTCCATAAATGTGTTTGATAAGTGGATCAAGATCCGTAGCAGTGGTGTTAAGTGGTAGTCCAGTAATTTTAAAATATTTACTGGTACGTTTTTGAAATTCAGGATCGTTTTGATTGCCTGGTAAAATTCTTACTACGAAATTTTCTATTTCTAGGCTCCAATAGTTTTCTTTCATGAAATAGTCATAGGCAGATTGTTTATCGAAGCGTACGATTAGTTGTTTGTATGCAGGTTTGATGAAAATTGGGCGTCCGCGATTGTTGCGGTTAGGTAATTTTCTCAGCGGCTTTTTGAGCTCTTTTTGGTCTATGATGTTGCTGCCGGTTTTAATAGCGAGGTGTTTGATAAGCATTGTTGTGTCGTAATTATAAGGTATGTCCATGATTTTTATGACAGCTGAGTCCAAATCAGCGAATTTTTTATCCAGTAATGTGTTGATAGCTTCATTGGTTAATTCGTATATTTTAACTTGTTTAAGGTTGTCGGGACTCTTTTCTATGTAGTAGTTAAGCGAGTCACGTGTTCTAAAGTATATAGTGAAATATTTGTATGTGGAAGTTGTATTAGATTCAAATTTAAAGGCGTTACTGTCACAGATAAATGCCGTTTTTAGTAAGTTAATGATTTCATTGTTAGAGAGTTCAGGTTTAAAACTATCTCTGGGAATAAATCCTTTGTGTGCTTTGTTAGAAGCTTGTGATGTTTGTGTAAAAATATCAGTTAGCACGGTCATTGGAATCGCATTTGGCAAGTTTGTTTGTGTGGCTGTTTGTGATTCCGGTGATTTTCCTTTATCTGGGTTAGGTTCTGAGGGATCTTCTTCCATATTAGTCAAGTTATCATTGATTGGTGTTTGCATGTGAGTATCATTTTTTATTGAGTCACGTGATGTGAGTTCAATTTCGCTGTGAGAAAGGTCGTGAGTTGAAGAGGTAGCTATTACTTCTTCTATAGGGCAGTCCGTAGATACTTTATCGATATTGGTAACAGTGTTATTGTTGGGTTTACTGTTAGACATATTTTTAACTGTATTTGGTGAAGAATATGTAAAGTATATGTCTTCTTCGTTAGTCACCAAACGATGAGATTTTTCTATATTTTTAAGGAATTTTTTTGAAAATTTTTTTCCGATATTAAAACTCATATGATAATGTTCCGAAAAGAACGTAGAGGCCAAAACTGGTGAAAAAAGTGGTACTTGTCTATAAAGAAATATGTGTTTTAACGAAAATTTCTTCTGTGAATTTTTGGTATTTTACGATCGTCGGAAAGAGTTCTCCTTTTCTTTACACTACAGACATACACTACATGTTATCGTAACACCATCATCAGAAGAATGCACCCCTGATGTGGGCGTGATTTATATGATCACGTGAAATTTATTTATACAGTTTACAGTAGAATTGGCATCATGCATGAATAGAAACCGCGCCCACAAAACGGAGCGGCCAGAAAGAATAAATGGATAAATGAGGATATCATCTACAATACATGTGACATTTGGCCAATTAAATTTCGGCTTTATTTATATTCATGAACCCCAATAAAAAAAGTACTTGGTGGCCGGCATTATGCGGAATTATGCACTGTCACGTGAACAGTGCGGTGACAAATAATAGTGATGAATAAGTTTTTACCCGATAAATTTAAACATTGAAAACACTGACAGAAGTGATGATTTTTACATGGTCATGTGTCAAGTGCTTTTTTTCTTGGGAACGTTAGGGATGATATATATATAAGAATTTAAGGCCGGGCAAAAAAAAAAAATTTAGATTCTCGTGACCCGGCCGGGTCAGTTTTTCGAGAAATGGGATTTTTTTTTTTTTATAGTAAAAAATTTTTATCACGTGATTTTAAGTTTTTGGCCAATGTGCGTAAAAAAATTTTACATATGAAAAAATTTTACATCGGCCGGCCGGGTCATTTTTAAAANATTTTTATCACGTGATTTTAAGTTTTTGGCCAATGTGCGTAAAAAAATTTTACATATGAAAAAATTTTACATCGGCCGGCCGGGTCATTTTTAAAATTTTATGTCACGAGAATCTAAAAATTTTTTTTGCCCGGCCTAAGAATAGAAAATTTAATGTGTGATCGAATAATAATAATTATAAATATTACAAAATATATCTATAGGAGTCACTGCAAAAAAAGTACGTATTTGATGTATAAATTTATTGTTTATTCCATTAAGAATATAAAATAAAATAAAAAAAATTCTATTAATAATTTTAATTAAATGCTTAATAGATATAACTTATTATATTGTAAATTCACATTTTCCTTAATTAAAAAAATTTAAAAATTGAAATATTATATAAAATAATCCCAAAAATGAATATATATTATAAATATCATACCTTTAAAAATTTTTTTAATAATTCTCTATTTCTATATTTATGTAAAAAAATTCTAGATTCCTTTTTAAAATCTCTTTTATGTTTTTTTGTTTCAATTTCTTTCTTATATTTTAATATTAAGTGATGATCTATAATATATTGTGGATGTTTAAATCTACAAAAATTTTTTTTACAATTAGCTCCATACCAACACATTCGATCATCGGAAATTGGTAATTTTTTAATCATATCTTTATTACGTCTCTCTTTAAAAATGGCTTGTGAAAATTTTTCTGGTAAATCTTCATTAATTATATTTGCTGTTATCAATGAAGTTTCCGTTTTCTCTTTTTCTTTAACTGTTGAAAATCTATACTTGACTTGTTCATTATGTTTAAAAGAATGAGTTTTATATTGACAAATATTTTTCATCAAATTATTTAATTGATTTCTTGCATCATTAATTCTATTTTCAAATGGAGGATTTTCTTTTTTCTTATTAATATAAATTTTAATTTGTGCAGGATTTGATTTTGTATCAATATAAATATGGGTACCAGTTTTTTCTGAAATGGGTTTTAGGTTACGTCCTTCACGACCAATTAATTTACCGATCTCAATATTTTGAGGGATCAAAATTGATGATTTTTGAATTTGTTTTGACATTTTGTAAAGAAAGTGAAAAGAAATTTAAATTTTTTTTTTTTTTATCCAACTATGTAAAATAAAAAGTAACGAAGGGTATATTTATAATGAAAATCATCTTTTCTTTTTAACAAAAGCAAAAGTATATTATTATTATTTATTTATTTATTTTGTATTTGTTTTAATTTTTCAATTACGTATTAAATGTTATTGTAATGTCATTGTTTAAAGATATTCAAATATGTCGGATATCAGTTTCCGAAAGAACGACGGGACCTCATGATTCATGAATTACCATATTGGTACAACAAAAAAGAAATTCCGACTTGACAAAAAATGGAACGATCTTCGAATTACGTTTTGTGTAACATTATCAATTTTTACGATTATTATTTTTTTTAAAAAAAAGTAATAATTAATCTCTAAAATAGTAAGTGAATTTGTATTTTGAAATTTAATAATATTATTTTATTGGCATGATAAATTTAATTTTAGACATTATTTGACGTAAATGTTTAAAATAAAAAAACTAATCATTGTAACATTTAAAGGATCATCTAGAAGCTAATCATTAGTTACACGTTCAGAAGATCATTGCTACGCTTAAAGGATCATCCGTTATGCTACGCTTAAAGAATAATCTAGTAACTTCATGTATTAACGTCCAGAACGGAAATCTAGCAATGATAAATCGGAATCGAATATAAAAAAAAATAGCTCAGCGCAGGAATAATCATAAATAATAAGAGTCATAGTTAGTAATTTTGCATTTAGCTACACTTTTAATGTACCCCTCGCTAGATTATTTATGCAAGGGATCACAGGAAAAAATTTTGCAGTGGTTTGAACGTTAGTATAACAAAAAAACTTGACGAAATTAATCAGTAAATGTATAGCCATTACCATCATCTCTGCTATAGGTTATACCTCATTATAACACATACATCCTAGTAAACGATTTTTTTAACGTAAAAAAATACTCGAAATGAAAAAAATATGATATTACTTCTAAAACTTCCAAAGAAAGGAGTTTTATAAAGAGCAGTTTTAACTAACTAATGACGAGATTGAATTTCGTTATGATGAAACATTTTCTCTCAGTGAGAATTGAGAGTGATTAATTGATTTTGATTTTTGATACTAATATATTTTGGCTATGAATTCCTTTATTTTTTTTTTAAAAAAAAAAAGGTTACATAAGGATATTTATTTCTATAACTAAAAAATGCATAATTGATAATAAAGAATAAAATAAATGATAAAAATAATGCGTAATTGAATGATAATAAAATGAAAAAAAAAAAAATGCATAATTGATAATTGATAATAAAAATTAAAAGGGAAAAAAAAAGAATTAAGCATTTCTTTTGACATTTTCCTTATTTCGTGACTAAATATGGGAAAGATGAAGAATATTATATATTAAAAAAAAATTATCAAATAAATATTAATAAATTCAAATGTTTTTGAAATATCTTACTTGTCGTGTTTTGGTCGTATGCGACATTTTTCGGTTAAATCTTTTTCTTTTTTCCTTCGAATCGTTATCTTTATGATTTCTTGGTGTTGCGTGTTGATGGTTACCATTATCTGAAATTCTAACATTTTTTTCCTCTTTTTCCATATCTTTTCTTTGACTTTTTGTCTCGATATCTTCTAGTAATTTATTTAATTGAAATTTTGCTTCATCAATCCTCTCCCAAGGAGAACTATTTCCAATTCTATCTTTAATTATTTCAATTTTAATTTCTATTGGATTTGTATTTTCAATTATGTGTATATGTGTACCAGTCTTTTCAGCAATGGGTTTTAGGTTACGTCCTTTACGACCAATTAATCTGCCAACTTCAATATCTTTGGAAATTTTAATAGTAGTCGAAACGATTGAATTTCTGATGGAATTTTGCATTTGTTTTGCCATTTTGATGAAGAATTTAGAGATGATTGATTATTCTTTATTATTATTATTATTAGAAGAATATTTTTTTTTTTTTGAAAAATACGAACTCAAAAGAGGGGAGTATTTATATTTTAGCAAATATCTCAAAATATAAACAAAGACATTTTATTAACATAGTTATCTCAAAATACAAACAAAAACATTTTATTAACATAAAATCAACAAAAAGTTTTTTGTTACTATTTTTTTTCTTCAAACAAAACCAACAAAACCATCGTTTTTTATTAACAAAAAAAAAAAAAATTAAATGATTTTCACAATAACGAGTAAAACTATTTTTAAATAAATTTTGTAAAGCCAAGATTTTATTATGAACTCTTTTTAATCATGAAAAACAAAAAATATTTGAAAAGGATTTTCATGTGATGATGATGAGTGAAGACTATCACAAAAAGGGTATGGCCGGATACTTTTGTCCGGATCATCGGGTCTTGTGTCATACATTACCTCATTAATTTAATAAATGTTTTGTTATCAAAAAAGGAAATTCTTACTGCGTTGACTATAATTGAAACATATTGAACATATGATTTTTTATAATGAATTATTGATAGTAATTAATCAATATGTTTTTGTCTTTTTCAAAAAAGGAATTTTTTCACTTTTTTGTTTACGGTATCTTATAAAATTTTTTTGACTTAATTAATTTTTCTTTAAATTAGAAAGTAACTTGCATTGATTTTAACTTTATTTTGCACTAAACTTGTAACTGGATTTCGTACATGTTGTTACTATAATTCCTATAGTCCTATAATTCTCTCAACAATGACACTTTAGAATTAAAAAAAAAAATAATGAATTCTATTTTTGACTAAACTTTTAATAACAATTTCTAGATAATTTTTATTCAAAGCAATTTAACAAGATAAAATTGGTTCATATTGCGTAGTTAATATTTTGGAAATTCTTATAACGTAAAATCACGTGACTTTAACGAAATAGTGACGCTCTTTATTATCCAAATATTTTTAATTATTGTGAAGTAATATACTTAATTACTTATTATGTCTAAAAAGATTTGTTATTTGTTAGCACTGCATCCTTAATACAAAACATACGATAAACGTTCAATCCATATAGTATTTGAAGGTCGCAAACGTGTCGAATTTTATTACGTACCGAGATTAATATGAATATTATTATATATGAATTATTTAGAAATGAAGAAAATATAAGTGTAAAATTTACTAATACTTTATTATTGCTACAGTTTACATGGGTAGACTTTTTATATTTAAAAATATTTTAGAACTAAAAAACACTATTGATTATAATGATAATAATAATTCATACGGGTAATTATTATTTTAATTTTATTATGAATTCTAACCCTGAAGTATTTTTGAGCGTGAAATTTATGAAATTATTACAAACAAAAAAAAAAAATATTTAAATCATTAATCATAATTTAAAAGGGTTTAAATGTTTAAATACTGTTTTGTTTTGGAAATACCAAAGAAAATAAATTAATAAAAAAAGTTCATGTTAGTAAAAAAGAAAAATGATTTTAAATAAATGGGAATTTTAATTTTAATTTATTTTTTTAATCATAATAATTATTTCTATTTACCAGCAGTCGCATTTTTTTTTTCATAAAGCATAAAGACTATATTATAAATATATATATAACTGAACTGAATACATTTGTTAATAATTCATTTACCTATAACTAAAGAAATTACATATTGAAAATTTTAATTATTTTTTTTTTATAAAATAGTCGATAGTCGATAGTTGAATAACGCAGTACGAAATAGGGATAATAATAACTGATAACAAAAACATTTGTTAATTGAGATAATTTGTGGCACAAGTCCGGTGATTTGATTTGGACAAAAGCAGTGATGTACATTTGTACTTCCAATAGTACAATAATTTGGTTGAAACTAGAAGCTTCCAATCCAAATGGCTTTATTAGAAAATTATGCTTCCAATCTTTCCAAAGGTGCTTCAAAAGGCGCTTCCAATCTTCCAAGGGCACATCACTTGACAAAAGTATCCGGTTATCCCTTTTTTGTGATAGTCTTGACTATCAATCACATCATCACACGAAAATCCTTGTCATGTTTTTTTTCATGCTTAAAAGAGAACAATTACCTTTTATGATAAAAACATGATAAACATGGTTTAAAAATAGAGTTTTCCATTTATTGAGAAAATCATTTTTTTCATGGATCGTCATCAAAACCATCGTCTTTGTTAATTAAAAAAAAAATGGTTTTGTTAAAATAATATAAAACTTTTGTTGGTTTTATAATAATGGAATGTGTTTTGTTTGCAATTTGCGATGTGTTTTTTGCTTATAATTTGCGATAATTGCTAAATTATAAATACTCCCCTTTTTTGTTCTGTTAAAAAAATCATATTTTTCTTCCTCTTTTTTTTTAATAAAAAAAAATAATACTATAATATATCATCTTTAAATTCTTTATAAAAAATGGCAAAGGAAATGCAAAATTCCATCAGATACTCAACTGTTTTGACCATTTTTGAAATTCCAGACCATGTTGAAATCGGTAAATTAATTGGTCGTAAAGGACGTAACCTAAAACCCATTGAAAAAGGAACTGGTACACACATTTACATTTATAAAGAAATAAGTCCTCGACAAATTGAAATTAAAATAAATAATGATAATAAAGATAGAGGTGAAAATATTTCAACTGGGGAGCGGATCAATAAAGCAATATGTCAAATAGACAAGTTATTAGAAGATATTAAAATAAGAAATCAAAGAAAAGATAACGAAAAAGAGGAAGAAAATGTTAAAATTGCAGATAGTGATACTAATCATCAAGACGCAACAGTCACAACAATCACAACAGTCGCAACACCAAAAAATCATAAAGATAACGACCTAAAGGAAAAAATAAAAAGGTTCAAACAAAAGAATATCCCATACGACCAAAACACGACAAATAAGATATTTCAAGAATGTATGGATTTGTTAATATTTTATTTGATAATTTGTCTTTCTAATATAAGATTTTACATCTTCTCCAAGGAAGATGCTAAAAGAAATTCTCCTATAAACCGTATGAATTAAATCAATCCAATTAGTCATATTTTTATTTTTATTTTTATTTTTATTATTAATTATGTATTTTTTCATTCGTATTATTATCACTCATTTATGCATATAGTTTTTATTATAGATTATAGATTATACATTTTTTTATTATAAGAAATAAAATTTATTATTATATAAGCAATAAAGTTTTTTTTTTAAAAAAAAAAATAAGATTTCCCAATTCTTCACAAATCATAAAATTGGCAAATTTTTTTTAATATTAAACAAACGCAATAGTGATCCTTAAAATAATTTATTTTGCTGATTTTATTTTCTTCGTTTCGAATATTTTGGCTAGTTTTTTATTGTCCTACCAATGAAACATGTTAGCTATTTATAAAACAATTAAACAATTGCATCCCTCCCTAATTAAAAAAGTTTGTCATCGTAATTCTTTAATTAAATCGTGATTCGTGAGATCATGAATATAATAATAAAAGATTTTATATTAAAAATGAGAAAAAAAAAAATTCATGTAAATTAAGTTAATTGACAATTTGTTGCCTTAAGTGACGATTTATCTTAAATATAACGATATAAATAATGATTTTATATTCAGTATCGTTAATATTATGATTTTATAATAACGATTCTTATGCAAAATAATTTGTGCTCATATAACTATTTTATATTATCGTTCTTCTTTACTTGCAAAGAAAAAGATGAAATTCTGAAACATATTAAATTAAAAAAATATTTTACCTGGGGTAATAAAGAATCATATTAAATTAATGTTTTTATTATTTTACAAATATCTATTTTAAAATGTCTAAATATTGTTCAAATTATGCAAAGTAAAAAAATAAATAAAATAAAATAATGACTTCCGAAAATTTGCCTGCATTTTTTTTAGGTTATTTCATTGTATAGAAATTAAAAAATTAATATAAACTTTATGGCCATTTGTTTTCTACAATCACTTGCCAAATTGCCACATGATATTTAATATTGTTTTATCTAACGATAAAATAATTTTAATTCAAAATGAATCTTCATTATCGATATGTAATGTATGTAATGATAATTGAATTACGCTTTATAAAAGATTATTATTCAAACCATAAATTTCTCAAATTCAATTAACAAATACTGTAGGTAAAATCAGTGTTTCATAATATTTTATTAAATTTTATAAATTCTTTGTCTTGAGTAGTCTAAGAAATTTTTACTGTATTTATTCTTGTGCTGTGCCTGTGATCAACTGATCATCAGCTGATCATCAGCTGATTCTAATTATAAACAAGTTAACATTAAACATAACAGGGAGCTTTAAGCAGTTTTATTTAAATTAAATCATTATAATTTGACAAATCTTACTTAAATGTTAAAATTTATTGTTATTAAAGTGATAAAATCATGCATTACAAAAAATGAAGTTTAAGATATTGTTAAATAGTTAAAACCCAAAAGATGTGATTAATCTATCATACTTTTCTTGCAGACGACTATATTCCATGATGACCTTTTCATCTGTTTTTATTGAGTCATAATCAAGAGCAGTTAAAGTTAAAGAATCCCAAGTTTTGGCACGACTAATTGCAACATATGCTTGCCCAGCTGCAAACATTTGTGAGTCTAATGCTACTGTAACATCTGGTAGGGTTAGCCCTTGAGTTTTATGTACTGTTAAAGCAAAAGCATTCTGAATAGGAAATTGATGTCTTGAAGCTGGTTTTCCATTGTAATTGAATCTATCAGTTGTTTTTTTAACAGTTATATAGGATATTCCAGTTTTGGTTGGAAATGCTACATCAATAAGTTCTTCATTTTGAATTTCCATTATAATGCCAATTGAACCATTGCAAATTCCATTTTCATATAGGGTATTATTGAGAAACATTACACGTGCTCCTTTTTGAATTTGAATTGTATCTGGAAGATTAGTGTATTT